ATTATACATTAAGTATAAAGTATTTGTACAATATTAATAATCATATATATATATATATAAAAAACAACTTTAAATGATTTCACAATACTAAATCAGTTAAAAACTATAAAACATAATTAGTAATCTAATCTTTAATAAAAAAAAAAACAATGACAGGTACTGAAAAAGTTATAACGACGCATAACGATCACTGCGATTACTTCTTCGCGCATGCTCACCGTGTGACAACTTATCCCGTCTCAATTTGAGTCAACTTATCCCAAGCGTTCATTTTAAATAAAAGATATTATATTTATAAACTGCGATACGATGACGATTAAATAAATATAGGAAAACTTATTTAAAACCACCATATTTCCTATACATAAGATAAAATTGCAATTAGAAATTTTGAAACCAATAAAATTACTAAAGAATCGAGATCAGAAAAATCTACTTGCCATATTCAGTTTTACAAAAGTGCTCGTAAATATCATATATAATGTTTTTAAGAAAAGTTCTTTCGTACACGTTACTAACTAACACAACTAGTAGCAACTTACAATAAAAAGAAGAATATTTTCCAAGATTTAGTAAGCAAGATAATAGCAGTTTGACAACTAACCCCGTGTCACAATTAGCCCCGGTCTCTCCTACTCCGCGAGACCACTTGTTCCTTACTGAAATCTAATTCTTTTATCTACTTATTTTCAGGCTATTCTACACATTTCATTTATTATTTAATTATATTATTATTTTACTAAACATATTGCAGTGCAACAATGAATGAAAATATTTCTCTCTCTCTCTCTCTTATTATTATTATTATATTATTATTAAATATAATTTAAAATACATTTTTACAACGCGAACAAATTTTTTGTTAACATATATTGATTATTATAGTCAATTCTTAATAAATATGTATCAAAGGATAAATAAAAATATGTATACATATTTATATGTATCATTTTTAATATATAATAATAATGATATAGTAAATAATTATATAGTAAAAATGTTATACACACACAAAGTGTTTTTTGTTGATATAATACATTTTGAAAATAAAGCGCTTATATTTAAAACAAAAGTTGTAGGATGTTAGCAACAATGTAACAAAAGATATGTATAATATAATATATAAGATACATGCAATGTATGCAACGTGAAAAATAGTAAATAACGTTAAATGACATCTCTAACGGTCAAAAAACATAATAAACATATTTGATATATAATCTTGCTACTCAAGATGCAATACAATATCCTAATATTACTAATATATTGCCATTTTACTGTGATATTTTCATAATATTACGTGTTATGTGGGCTGTTTAAAAGCGCTTTTTATACGCATGATTAAGGCAGATATTTTTAAGTGTATTTTAAAGCAAATGGTAATTACTGAGTATAGGGGATTAAGGTCCAATGACCTTGATTTTTATGTTGTAAAGGGCACTCTTCTGAGTAGTGTTCAAGAGGTTTTAGGCGTCGCTCATTTTTCATTAAAGAAATATTCATAAAAAATGTAATCACAACAATGACCGTTAAAAACCATTAAGAATTGTAATTTTGTGTGTATGTTCGTATTATAAGCGTGTAGGCAGGGGAGACTTTGCCCCTCCCGCTGCTCTCTCCGAAATAATCACGTACACACTTTCGACATGAAACGACATTTAATCGGAAGTCGACGTTGTTTTTATCAAGAGGAGAGCAGGAAAAGGGGCAAAGTCACTCCCCCCTGTTTACACTCTTATAACACAAACAAAAAGAACATATACAAAGTAGTCATTGTAATATATCTACTATTATATTTTTAATCTTGTTATTCTGTTCTTTCTACATCACGAATAGAATATAAAGCTGCCATAATGTCAAAAAATTTATCAATCCGCTGGTGGTACTAAACGTTACGTTTGAAAACAAATTCGGCTAAATAATGAATATAATGTTCCGCTCGGAACGTATCGTTACGTATTGTTATTGTATTGTGGAATTCTGCCTCAAATATCACGCCATAAACATTCATGAGAATAATTATGCGTCAAATGCAATAATTCATAGAACAACATATCGAAACCCACTCGCTTTCGACAATCTTGTATTTATGTGGAACTTCGCTCGGAATTATGGATATAAGCTATTTCGCGCCCCAAAACATCAACTGAATAATAGTCAACAATACCGCTGATATAATGTATCATTATATCAGCAACTCAGAATGTCTTCCTAGAAATGATAACTGCAAATGTGAATTCCATTCTATTATTCTATATGTTATCAATAAAAAT